CGCTGTGGGGAAACTAAGAGTAATAAATTTGTCGTCAGAAGGTTGCTTTGAGGTATGGAATTAGAACCCTTTTAATTGTTTTTCAAAATTTTCCAACACCAAACATTGAAATTGTGCTATGTTTTGTTGGTAATTTTCCTTAGGTCCAGTGTAGCAAACTTGTTGGGACGATTAATGAATGTCATATTCTCAAGGTGCCTGCTGCTGCGATTAGACCAAAAGAATGTGGTAGAATTAGGATGGATGTGGAACCGCCTGGAGTGTGCGATGAACGCAGGGCTGTGATTGAGACAGATGATGTTGGCAGCGTGGAGCCGAGCTTCAATTGTTGGCAGCCGGCCACAAAAAATAAGGGTGACATGAAAATAGAGGGGGGCAATGACTATGATAATAAAAATACTAGAACACCGACCAGCAAGGAAAAGGTAGCTGGGAAGCTGGTGCCACGTGGAGAGGTTTGGCCGATATTGTTCCCAGATCTTCTAGAACTGGCCAGCACTCCAGATGGTGAAGACGTGGGTGAGGAACAAAGGGGGGTGCACGATGAGCTGATAACTTGTAAAGTCAGAATTACTGAATTAGAGAGTGAGATCAATATGAAAGACGTACAGATATGTGAACTGGAACAGCGTGTGGAAACACTGGAGAAACTGCTCAGGCGGCACGCTGGGAATTTGTTTGCAAACTTAAATACCGTGATTGTGGATAAGGATTCTAAAATTGCCCGACTCAGCAAGCAGGTTGATCGATTGGAGACAAAAATAAGCAATTTGGAAGATAGTCTTGATGACCTTGAGGTCCACGAGGTCACACAATTTGCTGTGAATGATGGATCCAATCAGCGGACACCAAGTAATAGTCTGTCAGGGAAAGTGAGTGGGTCTGCCAATGTGATGAGTTGCGAAAGTGCGCAGCAGTCTGCATGTCCTACAGGCCAACCCAAAGACGTGCGGATCAACGAATTACAACTTGTTGACAATGACCCTGGGATTGAAGATTTGATAGATGACTTCGCAGATGGGATTGTACATATAACTGTAGCAAGGGTTGAGGGTAGCTGCAGCCCCCTAAATGCACAGACAGTAGCTGGTGGCAATGTAAAAGATGGCGCAGCTGTCGTTGTTGTAGAAGGTCATTGTGAACACACAGCAGGTGTAACAAGTTCTGGGCTGAAAATTACGTCACTTGTGAAAAGGGTAAAGAACAAGGCAAGACGGGAATTTAGGTTATCAGACTACGAATATCCTGGCATATTTGGGCGTCCACAGGTAAACACCAATGTCAAACTTGGTAAATCAGTTGAACCCAGGGTGATTTACAGTGTTGAGGACGTCGAGGTGGAGCGTAAAACCTGGAATGGCTTCGGTATGAATAGGCGGCACACTGTGTGTAACATGCTGAAGGATGAAGACAGGGAACTACTACAAAGAATGTACACTTTAGAGGGGGCCGGGTAGGTTGTTCGGATGGAATGTTGTATTCTTTGACATGTACAACTTGTAAAACTATGCTCTATAGTGGTTCTTAATTTTGGTTTACAGTGTGCAGGTTAATAGTATGGGATGGTGGACACAATGGAATACAAGTTCATTTCACGGACATCAAAGATTTGGTGCAGCAGAACTCCATACACGGCAATGTAAGTTGGTTTCGTGTAACAAATCGTAGAGTATTTTTTGATTCTTTAATTATTTTAAAAAAACATATGCAAATCTGACCATTGCTTCTTTTGTGAATTGAGTGATGTGGCAGTCGGAAAGGGCAAATGAATTTAAAAACACAGTCAAGAAAATGTAAATGGAAATGTAAATTTACAAAGTTCTTATTACTATTGTGCTGGAATTGTAATGGGTAACATATGTTGCAGGTAATCGATGCATACGCTGCAATGTTGACTGAATGCATAAGATGGTATCTGGAAGGGTAGAATATGTTGGGACATCGTACATTTACACTAGTGTTTGTTCAGTATGTATCTTCAGTTTTATTTGACTGCCCGAAATCTAAAAAAAATATTTGCATAATGAAACCTGATACGACTACGGTGGTTTTGGACAATTGTGCAGGATATGATACGAAATAGTAGTGTTGTTTCCCGAGCGAAGTATTTGAATGTTCACATGAAGGTTGCACGAGGTTGCAGATACGCACTTTTCCCAATCTACAATGCCAACCATTGGACAGTCATGGCGTACGATTCAGAAAGTGGGAATTGGAAACATTACAACTCGATGCGGCCAAGACGTGGAGTGCGCGATGAGCATTACAATGAGGCTCTAAAAGTTGTAAGTGTTGTTTACAAATTTTAGTTTTGAATGTGCATGATGGGCAGATTACAATTTAGAAAATGTTAATGTTACTGTGGACAAAACTGCACTGACATGTGGAAAATGGACAGAAACAATGGGTGGCTGATCACCACAACAAATTTGTGAAGCCTCGAGTTACAGCTGCAGGTGTTGGGGCAGAGCTGTTTGATGGCAGTTTTGTATCTGTTGTGGATTGTCCACAACAAGTTCCAGAGTCGTAAGTAATGTTCATTTTATTTTGAGCATACTATTTTGATGATGTATTACCTCAGTGACGTTGACACCGGTGTTTGTGAGTGTAGGTCAGATTGTGGGATTTTCGTGTGCTTCATAATCAGGCAGTACATTCGTGGTGCAGAAGTGAATACTTTGATGGACGGTCTGACCCCAACTGGGCTACGAGCTGCAATGGTGGACATGTTCTTAAGTGACCCGGGCAGAGGACTCCGTGGGAGGACATTATAAGAGGTTTAGAAGACATTTGCCAGTGCACAAGGTGCAACAACAGCATTAGGATGTTTTACTTTGTTTTTTCGTATCGACGTATATAATATTTTGTTAGTCTGGAAACACATAACAGTAGGAGGGAAAAACTAGTTTCATATACATTACTTTTTTGGTAATGCAGAAGTGCCCAACGGTTTAATCTTGGGTTAGGATCCAGTACTTTGTGGGTATGAATGTTGATATTATTTAGTAAGCTATTCAAATAGTCTCACCTATTGCATAATAACAGTTTAACAGTGCATTACACTTTTATGTCATGTGAAGTAGATTGTTTTTAAATAGCAGATGGGCCTGGGTATGTAAACATGGTGTGATCTATGCAGGAGTTGGGCATGACGACACTCAATTTGGTAAACCTGTTTTCCACCACGGGAGTATGCGTGGCTTGATGTATATGGAAATGGACATGCAAAGACTGAGTTCGTCGACCACGTGCTTAATATGACATGAGAAAAGATTAATTTTGCATTGCCATCTTAATTAGAATTGTGATGATACCATGTTGAGCGTAACATAAAATTACCTTCGCATTCAATTTATTTTAACGCAGTTGGTACTGGGTACATGTTTTGTGCAATGACAATGGATTGTAAGCAGCCACCCAAACATTAAAAATCCATTACCGTTCCGGCTACAGGTTGGCAGAGTCTGCTTTGGGCGAATGTTCTGGTATGATGTGAACAGATTTGTAAACTAAAACGGCACCAATTCCTCTTTTCATGTCTTCACAGTGTTAATCAAAGCCAGATTTGAAAATAAAATGGTTGTGTTTCAAAGGAGCAGTGTTAGTGTTCAATAATGGGGACCAAAAATGTATGTCCTACTAAACATATTAAACCAATAACATAAAGTGGATGACTGGTTTCCAAATTTGTTATGATGTCCACAGATTTGAAACAAAAACCGGCACCCATTTGCTCTTTTCATGTGTAAACAGTGTTAATCAAAACAAATTTGAAAAATAAAACCCATTGGCTATTTTCATGTCTTCACAGTGTTAAGCAAAACAAATTTCAAACTAAAATAGTTGGGTGTTAAAGATGGGGTGTAATTGTTCAACAATGGGAACTGAAATGGTTGATGGGTTACATAAAAATGTATATCCTACAAAATAGATTAAACCAATAACAGAAAGTGAATGACTGATTGAAAAAAAGGAGGAAAATATTTCAGAAAACAAAATAAAACAGAATCCCAGTTTGTTAACAACAAAATTAAATCATATGGCAGCCCACCTGTAATGGCTCTTTGCATGTCTTCCTATTGTGATTGCCCACTTTTCCGCAACGACCACAACGTACACGTTGCACTACCTCCCCCTTGGACGGAATTCTCTTCCGTTTGGGCCGACCGGGAGGACGCTTGGCCATCGACGAAGCTATCAAACATTCAGCTGGGTTAAACAGTGGCCTCCCCACTGTTGGGATGGGGTATATGGTTCCACTATAAGTAGCTCAAAATGTATCAATGCAAAATGCGGAGTCTATGGCATCGTAGATGTTTCTCCCACTATTACGGAATGCAACGACAGCATGGGAACATGGGAACTCGTTGATCTGCCACTGAAAACAAGAACATGTCTACTTGCCGACATCAACCAACACCGATGGGTGGGAGTGGACCTCATAGACATCATCATTAGCCTGGCTCACACACCAAGCCCTGCTGTCGTTATACGCTGCCACCAATTTTTTCTCCATTTTCGGGGATATCACACCGGCCCATTTACTGCATTTAACTATGCGCTCCGACATCTGCTCCATTATTTGACCCCTTATCATATCAACCAATCTCCTGATAGGGAGATGACGGGCCTCACCAACCCAATTGTTGAAAGATTCAGCAGCATTTGAACACATCTTCCCATACCGTTGGCCCCTTTTAAAAAAAAAAACCCCCATTTACGGAGCATAAATTAAAAAGACAAAAACAAAACATACTGCAAAAAAACATGTGGGAATTTTTAAATATTCCATAACCCATTGTGCAGGCCGTGAATTACCTGAAATACGCATTAGACCAGTGTTTGGGGTACAGGTCTTTCATAAAATCTTCAATCACAGTTGGGTTGGCCTTCTTCAATACCTCCAATTTCTCATTGAAACAAGTAACAGTGGGCGCATATGCACATTCCCGTAACTTCCGTATCAACCCAATTTTGTGCGATGCATTAACATATTTCATTCAATCCCGCAAGTTCATTTGGAGATGCAACAAACAATATGCATGATGCGTTGAAGGGAAAATAATGGGCATAGAGTGTAATAATCCGACGTGGCGGTCAGATATGAAAGTTAATGTTCGCCCACCCCCAACAACTTCTTTCAAATTACGAAGAAGCCGTTCCCAATTAGCTGAATTCTCGGAAACAACAATAGCAAAGGCTACCGGAAACAATCCTAAGACCAAACATGCAACATAAAAAGTTAGGCATGACAAAACTTATACAACCATCCACGCAAAAAAAAAAGTGCGACACATTTTACAAAATAAAAAAAAATAAGCCTGCCACTGTGTCTTACATTCCTATTCAATTTTATTTGAGGAGACCCTATTTCAATGTTCTCAATTTTTTGCCTTCGTTAAATAGAAAAAAACATTTGTAATGTATAAAAAATTGAAGTATCTATTTACTAGTATGTTCAACAAATAAGCACTAATGGAATAAAATAACACACCATTACCTTGATTGGCGTCTTTAGCAGTAGCTGCGAGCAAATTACCTTTAAATCTACCTTTCAAAAATGTTCCATCCAAAAATAGCATAGGCCGGCAGTGTTTGAATCCATCTATACAAGCGCGAAATGATATGAAATACCTAACGAAGCTCCCGGTTTTTTGGTCAAACTCAAGATTAATGTAACTATTTGGGTTTTTTTGCATAACAGAATTGCTATACCACCTCAGCTGATCAAAGGACGTAGCATGATCCCCATACACCTCGCCTCTAGCTTTCTCAACACCCAACCATGCCACCCGGTAACTAATATCCAAACCATACTCGTTCTTCAAATCAAACACAACATCAGTGGGGCGCGTCAATGGCTTATCGCGCACTCGATCTGCAACAACGATAGACACCAAATCAGACCCCGTACGAGGGTTCCTAGAAGTACGTACAGCAGCCCTACAAGTATGCACACTATCAAACCTCTTAACACATAACACCCCACTTGACGGTAACATCCTCGCATGAACTGACCACGAACAATCTGTTGAAGCCGCAAACTTACACACTACCGTAATTCGCACGGAGTCATTTTTAACGTACTTAAATTGAAATCCACGTTCAACAGCATACTTACACAGAACTTCACGGAATTCAGTTGCTCCACCATCAAAACATTGTCCCACATGGGTAATACTATGCGCCTATCGCGCCGACAAAAACGTCTTCGATTTGTTCGAACAGTACGTTGGTAACAAATCCATCTGCTCATCCACGAACCCATTCCCGCTAACATGCCGTGATATTCCCCCATCGTCCGCAAAATCCAACACGACACGATTACCCCCCACACCAACACTACTTTCCTGAATGAGGACCTTAATGTGATTTATCCCGAACGACTTAGCAAGGCACAACATGTTTTGAATGTCATCATCGCTATCCTCCTTAAACTTCTTATACCCGGGAAAATCAAAAAACAAATACACCGCACCTGGTACCAATCCATCGAACTTCCCACAAATTTCATCAACAATCTTCACATACGACGAATCGTGATGCAACCAAATAAGAACATTAACTAAACCATACGAACACACCAGCAAAATTCCCCCTTCCATACCTGCAAACATTTTGGAGAACCCATTACTGCTGCAACATACCCATGAAACAACCATAACAGAACAGTATGTGTGCGTTTGTTGGATTAAACACAGCTAGGGGTGCAACTCGGGCGGGCTCAACCCGAGCAACCCGAGCCCAGCCCGAGTTTTTTTAGGGCTTGGGCAACTATATCTTGTAATCTGGACGGGCTTGGGCAGATTTTTGATGCCCGAATTGCAATTCGGGCCGGGCTTGGGCAGAACCAATGGCCAACCCGAGCAACCCGAACCCGAATTCAATTTAATATATTATATAAATTAAGTAAAAGAGTTAGTCTTAATTTTTTTTTTATTTTTTTTTTGGTTAGTCTTCTATTAAGTAAAAGAGTTAGTCTTAATTTTTATTTTTTATTTTTTATTGGTTAGTTTTCTACCATTAGATTAGTATCTTTTATGTCTACCCTTAGATCTACCTACAGGTTTCTGAACTCGGGCAATTCGGGCAACCCGAGTTCAAAATACAAAACTTGGGCCGGGCTTGGGCAACAATGTTCGGGTTCATGGTCGGGCTTGGGCGGGCTTGGGCAGTGCCAAATACAATTCGGGTCGGGCTTGGGCAGACCCCCAACCCGACCGAACCCGCCCGAGTTGCACCCCTAAACACAGCAGTGCAGGAAAATAAAAAAAAGCCCCAACGACCCATCCCAGCCATTGATATAACCAGTGCACCCATCCCATAGACAGATCAGAGGAAACTAAAAAAATCTGGAAAAAAAAACACACCTTTACCCAGGGGCTTGAACACAGCAATGCCACCGCAGGAAGCCACCAACTTGAAATGTCCAATTACAGTGCGAAGAACAGCAATGGTCGCTGGGGAAGATGACGCCGACCAACGAAAAAAGAGCTCTCATCGTATTCTGCCTCTCACCGTATTCTGCCTCCATGAAAACAATGGTGGAATCAATGTAAATGAAGGAAAACAATGGTAATGAAACCGAAATGGTGGACAACAACAATAAAGAATCAGAAAACAATGTCAATCAAATACATAACAATAAAAGAAATTGTTAAGCAGTCAGAACGTAAATAACCGTTTATGAGAGATCGCACAAATGGTGAAAAAAATGTTAATCAATAAAAATCATCCCCACTAAAAAACGTTGAATGAAGAAAATCAGTTGTAATGCATCATAAATGCTAGACAAAAAATGGTGCTCACCGATTTGGGTGTCCCAAAAACAGTGCCAATAGTGTTAATCAACAAACCATCCCCACAATAAGTTGAACATTACGAAACTCAATTGAATTCACCAACAACTGTTCAAGGAAAAATTTATGTAAAGGGTATTGACGTAAAAAAGCAATGGATCAAATCAAACCCCCCAAAATCAGGATATTAAATAGGACTAAATGGAGCATAAGAAAATATTTAGGACTAAATGGTTCAACATTTCAGTACATAGGATTTATGGGTAAATTTTCTAAAAAACAATACCAAAATTTTTTTTTGAGACAAAGCGGGAGGGTCGGGTTACATGGGTGAAACGGCGGATCAACCGTCACTTGACCCGAATCCTTGAAAATGCAAAAACTGGGCCTGCACCCGTCCGCCAACTGTCATGCATTCATCTATTTGATGTCAAGTCGGGTCGGTCCGGACGGGTCGGTGGATCCGTTGACCAACCCTAATTCAAATAGAATACCCCAATAGTTACTATACTTTGCGGCCTTTTTTGGGTGTCCAAAGCGGCTGTTTTGTGGGTTTTGCCCCAGAGCCTGCCCTACTTAAGGGCATATGTTAATGTAATTAATATCTATAATTATCTCCATTTGTACGAGGATTGCAAAACACTAGTAAGAAATAAATATGATGGTTTTTAAAAACTAAATATTTTTGTGCATGGACAAAAATACCCTCTCTTTTAGAATTAACCACTTTTGGCGTAATGAATTGACTTATTTATAAAAATATAACAAAATAAAATGATGGTACCCTCTTAAATAAAAAACAAAAAATATTAATATTTCATTATAAATAAAAAATAAATTTATAAATCACATAAAATAATAGTACTCTTTTAAGTTGAAACAATTTCTTGAAATGGATTGAAAATTTTCACTTACAATTAAATTTTCATCCATTAATACTATAATATTATAACAAAAGAAAAAAAAATTGATGCTATAATATTACCCAAAAAATACATTTCAATTTATTTCAAAAAATAATAAACCTAATAAATAAAAATACTTTATTTATAATTATATAATCTCTATGTGTTGCAAACTTAAAAAAAAATTATAATTATAATAAAATAAATAATAGAAGGAAAATTGTTAAGTGAAATTGAGAGAAATATAAATAGGGTACTATGGTCTCCATGAAAAGAAAATTCTTAAATCCTAACAGTTTTATCTTTTATTACTTTCTATACAAATAAAAGGAATTGTATTCATTTAATGCCTTTCTTAATGTACATTCTTAGACTAATGCTATATTCACCGATTAGTGCAAGAATTAGTGTATTAATTGATAATGTGGTATAATTTAAGATATTTTTAGTACTTATATAATGAGTAGGATCAATAATAATGTCATAATTGGTGTTAGTTCACTAGTTAATACACTAATTGGTGCATATAACATCACTCATATTCTTATGGCACACATTAAGAAAAGGAAGAGGCTTCTCGCCAATTACATATCCCAATTGGAGGGTGCTATTGGGTCTCTGTGAGCCACCACGAAACCAATATTGATGATTCAAATTGTTAAGTGTGTAAGGCTCGTCAGGTATTTTCATCATTATAAAAATCACGTTGATCAGATATCAATAATCACTTAATCATATCACATTTGTATCAGATATTCACTTGATCAGATCACAATTGTTTAAATAATTTATTTTAAAAACTATACTTACTGTTAATATAAATGTGATATGATCAAATAACTATCAATATTCAATCAATGTAATTTTTTATAAGGTTGAAGTACTCGATGAGTGCTACACATTAAATCATTCGAATTATCAATATAGATTCTATAGTAGATCAACAGAGGTTCAACAATACCTTTCAATCTAATTTTGACCGGTGAGAAACCTCTATCTTAGGAAAAAGCCATAAAAAAAAGAGTAATGTTAGAGATCTTAAAAATTATACCAAAACCTTTATCAAATGTCTTACATGGGTGTAGGACTCACATAATGTAGATTCCATGTGGGTCCTATATCTATGTGAGATATTTAGTAAAATTTTTAATAAAATTCTTAAGATCCCTAGCATTTTTGATAAAAAAAAATATATGCAATTTATAAATCAAAAAATAGTCTACTTTCAGTTTTTGTTTTTTTTTTTTTTAGTAGGTAAATTGTAGGCTCGAGGATGTTACGTTTTTCACATAAATAGTACACACACAGTCCCACTGAAGGTAGGGGAAAAAAAAAAGGATCAAAATTCTTTGTAATGAATCTCTATGCAATAGTTTTGTTGTGGTAATTCAATACTTTACGTTTAAAATTTTATATTATTCTAAAATGTATTAATGTCATTTTGCTTTATTTTTAATTTGAATAATTTAATTATGAATTTTGTTAATATGTCTAGTCATAATAAAAGTGTGACAAAATCATTACAAAAAAATCATGATAGAAAAAACAAAGTAAAAAAAAAAAAAGGCTTAATATTTTATGAGTGGATTCAGGTGGCTGTTCTATTTGGGGCGTAATAGTTAGGTCAAGTTTGACATACTTCAAATAATTTATCTTTTTATTTTTTTTTATCACATTATTTTTTTATTTTTTTACACATTTTTCGTGAAAAGACAAAAAATACACTTATTTAGATCATCTCAAATAACCTCTTACTGTTGTACAGTCTTATAAGTTTATTTTGAGATTCGTTTTGATAATTTAAATTGTTCACATTTTAGATTATATTGAGTAGAACATATTTATAAAAATCAAATTAATTAAATATCTTTAACTCTTTTATCCATTTATATTTGTATTAATTTTAATATTTTAAATTACAATTGTCATTTATTTTTATAGATATATAATTAATTTAATTAACGATATTCGATTAATTTAATTTTTTATAAATATATTTTATTTGACATACTTTCAAATATAAATAATTAAAATTATTAAAATAAATTTATTTAATTATACAACAGTGATTACTGTGTGCCGCCAGCGCACCAGCCGCCCCAAATTCAGCGTTATTGGGTTCTATTTCAATAGTAACCATAAATACATTACACTATCCACATGGTAAAAAGTCTCAAAGTTGGGATGGTGATGAATGTTTTCTTGACTTCTTGTGAACTTAAATATAGTAGATTTTGATTCTTGAAAACTGAAAAAGCAATTGATTGCGGCTTTTTGAATTTTGTTTCACCTGCAAGAAGTCAAAGTTTTTTAATAAAAATTAAGATAAATTATAAATGAAAAAAGGTTTTTTTTTTTTTTAAACCTTTTTCATGCTTAAACCTTTATCACGCTCAATGTAATAGAATTGATTAATTTTTTAATTTTTTTTCTCTTCTATCACCCACTAACATGTGTCCGTGGAAGATGCGGGAATCAAGAAAAAATAGAATTTCTATCATTTCTGATTATAAATATACCTTTTAAAATTTGATTAAGATACGAATTATTCTTATAATTTTAAAAATTACATTTTATCTCCTGATATTTCTAATTTCATAACAAATTATCTTTTTTATTAATAAATTATCAGGTCAATTAATAGTTTTTAATGATGTTAGAAATATTTTTTAATTAATAATTTAGATAATTTTATTATTATATAGGAGAACAATTATAAATTTCATTTTTTTAATTAATTCTGTTAAATAAAAATTTTTAACAAAGAGATATTTATAATTTTTTAAATTATAAGAGATAATTTATATTTTAAATAAATTTCAGTACCTAACAACTATGTTATCTTAAATGTATGTTTATGTGATTTGTGAAACCACTACAGTTCATTTGGGAACTGGATTGATTTTTTGAATATTCTAATTTGAAACTAAAAAATCTCGTTTGTCCTTTTAAATTTTTTTTGTAAGAAAAAAAATATAATAATTATGAATTAAATATAATATTTTATCTTATTAAACTAAAAAACATATCTCATCTTTTTATAATTAAAATAAGAAAAATGCTTGGGAGCACTAATTAGTGCTCCACTAATTAGGTGGCAGTGGGTCCCATCATTAATGATGTGATGTTTTGGTCTTGAAGTTGTATTTTTTTTTTTTTTAACTTTTTTAATGTATTAGTGCTATTAGTGGTGATATTTTTAATGGGATGAACCATTGTTGTTAAAATAATCCCAAACCCATCTTATCTTTCCAAACATAGGCTACGCCACCTTCTCATATTATTCTATTGAACTCAATCAATAACGACATGGACTTGAACTAGACGACTCTCTCTCTCTCTCTATCTCTCTCTCTCTCTCTAAGTTTTTGAGCATTGCAAAATACTACTCCATGACATCGGAAACAAGGTCATCATTAGCATTCATGTCATCGGAAACAAGGGCACCTGTACCCTTGTTGTATCGAAGGCGATCAACCGATGATATCAACAACTTGGCCACGGTTTCAAGCAGCCTCTTACCGGCTTTCGGGACTGTTGTGGGTGAAGGATCTCTGCACCTAAGAAAATATGTCATCGCGCCGTATGATCGTAGATACCGGTGATTAATTATCTTCCTTTCTCTGCATAAAGTTTTTCTTTTCATACATCCTATAATTTACAGTACATCATATAACTTAAAAAAATTTCTTCTTGTTTTTGCATGTTTTGGTTTCCTTGCAAAATTGATTATGAAAAGAAAAAAAATCCATGTTACCCATTTTTTGTTATATTTTGCTATATGTGTCAGGATAGTTTCCTTATTTGAAGATAATTAGTAAGAAAATTGTTATTAGAATAATATCGGATGTGAAAAGGAAGAAGAAGAAAAAAGAAAAGAGAGTAATATATAGCATTACCCTATAAAAATGGTTGCCTTAGTCAATTTTTTATTTGCTATTAGTTTCTTTATTTTTTATTTATCCGATATTTTTGGGTTTTTTTTTTTTAAATCTTTTTATGGTGAAAAAAAAAGAGTTGAGTTGAGTGAAAAAGCAGTAATCTGTTATCAATAATTATTTAAAAGTAATAATTTAGAAATCTTTCTATATTTAGTCAGTAAAGTAACTTTTTGTTAAATTGAAATGGGTGAACGAATTTCCAAACCAAAATTACTTTCAAATCTTCCAATGCAATGTCACTTTTCATTTGAGTTAGAGGAAAGTGCCAATTTCCAAACCAAAATCACTCCCGAATCTTATTAGTAATCACAATTTTATTACTCAACAAATGTGACTTTTCTTCTCAATTGCACTCCATGTTTTGTGATTATATCGAGACAAATTTTCATATAATTATATCGGCATACATATGAAATAAGTATCCAGATCTAATGGATAGACAACTTTCTTATTCTAAACATTGGTTGAGTAGGGTATTGTTTTTCTAAATTGAGATTTTTCTTCAGAAAAATTTCAAAACCTACACATTTTTTAAATTATTTTTAAACACTTCCAAGTATGAGATTTTTCAAAATGAAAACATAAGAAAATTATAGCGAATTGACAATCACATGATAGACAGGGTCATTACAAATCTCAAATTGGAGAAATTATTCATTGCCCTAGGAGCATTGCATCACATCATTCAGACTTTGACAAGTGTGCAATTATCTCTCTAAACAAGTACTACAACCCATTAAAACAAGGGCATTGATTTAGACCCTTTAAAACACTCACTCCACAACCCCTTCTCAGACATATGGAGGTTGGGGATTGGGTGAGAAGAAAAAAAAAAAAAAAAAAAAAAAAGGAAAAGTTGACCAATCAAAATTAAAAGGGGTCAAGGGGGTGACTCTCAAAGGAGGTCTCAACTTTTATTCTTAAAACAATAACACCGGAGTTGGAGCACCACCTAGATTTGCACCTGAGCCAATGAATAATTTCTCCACAAATTGACAAACAACTTTATTAATATAAAAATGTTAGACATTTTAAAAATTTTACTAAAATTTCTACCAAATATCTTACATGAGTGTAGGACCTACATAGGACTCACATAGTATGGGTCCTGCATCCATATAAGACATTTAGTAAAAATTTTGATAAAACTTTTAAAATGACTAGCATTACTCTTATTAATATCAGCTGTTATCTAGAAATAAGTACACGTCATGCATTAATTCGTCCTTTGTTAGTGGACATCAACTAATATTGCAGATGTACAAATAAAAAAAAGGTTTGAATTTTTTTAAATTGGTCATCTTAATGTAAGAGAGAATTTACTATAAGAGAGCATTTGAGTTTGGTAGGCTTATTTTAAGGCTGATCTCAGTGAATTGTAGACTTTTTAAGACTCGTCGAGTATAATATTCATGCAAAAAATTAAGATAATCAGACATTGATATTTATATGTTTGAAGCACATTTGTATTACAAAAAATAAAATGACTATTGTTAAAGCTATAATTGTCATTTATTTTTTAAAAATAAATATAAAATAAATGTGAGTTAAATATATAAGTACCAATATCCAATTGCCTTTATTTTTTTACATAAATATTATATTTAACGAAATACAAAAAGTGAACAGTTATTAGAATCACCAAAATTGGTCTCAAAATAGGCCCACGTAGCCCCAAATACATTCATGGCTTTGAGATATTCAAAATAAAAATGATGGGGAGTTCTAATAAAGGAACTCTAATAGGGGTAGACCCCACTGTAATGTGATGTTTTGGGCTTGATTTTTTTTTTTTTTATTCCCTACCACATCATTAGAGCTCAATTAGAACTCCAAAATTAGAGAGTTGTATCATTGCTCTATTCAAAACCCAATAAAAAATATTTGAGATTTATTGTAACAAAATATAAGTTACTCCAATATCACATTTTAAAATTTTGAAATAAATTCAATAACTCTACCACTAACACAAATTCTCAAATTTCCATCTAAAACTACCAACACACTTTTGTAATATGTTATCATGCAAAAATGACACTAGTATAATCACACAAATTACACCTCCTATATTCATGAGGAATTGTATGTTTCTATTATTCTATCCTTACTCCTTACAGTCATCAACTACTTACCTTCATCCGTTTGGTGCGAGTATTTCAGACAACTTCGACTTGGAACATCAAAATAAAGCACGAAAATTCATAAAAAAAAAATTGTTCATTCTTTCTTACTCATTACCATGCCCAAACCCTCTTGTCCCAATTATACCCCAAAAACTAGCCTTCTTTCTCCAATATGAATCCACATTTTTGAGTGTCATGACAATGTTTTTCACTATACATGTGACTTTGAGTTCCAACACAAGTGGCTACCCTCAAGGTTGAACATACAACCTCAAATTTAATAGGCGGAGTTTTAACCTCCAAACATTAGCCCCTGTTTTCATGCCATAAGTGTGCAATGTAGGGTTAAATTTGAAGTGTCATATGCAGGTGGTGGCAAACATTTCTTGTGGTGCTGGTGGTGTATTCTGCATGGTCATCTCCTTTTGAGCTCGCCTTTAAGAAGATGGCAACCGGTTCACTCCTTCCCATTGATCTGGCCGTGGATGCCTTCTTTGCTGTTGACATTGTTCTAACCTTCTTTGTGGCTTACTTGGACAAATCGACCTATCTTCTTGTAGATAACCACAAGAATATAGCACTGCGGTATGCTCTTAAATCTTATTGTTAGAATAGTAGAGAGAGGGGGCGAAATAATATATATTGTAATCAATGAATTGTATTGAATATATTGTCCTATACAATAGAAGGCCGGTATATATATAGACTGAGAAAGAGTATCTCACTAAAAATCTAACTATGAGAAAGAATATCTTATAAGAGACCTAATTATGACAATACCTAATATATCTAGAAAATCAATATGTAATATATATAGGAATATATACCATATATATATTAGCATCTCCCCTCAAACTCAAGGAGGATAAACCTCTTGAGTTTGGAGAGAAAAACTAAAACATGAAATAAAACTAAATAAAATAAAAGCCAAATAGATTGCAAAATCCGAACGGGAGCGCAAGGGTGTTTGAAATAGATCAGAGGCCGAAACTAAAGCCGGAAGACAGTTTATGGTTGTGTTGGACCATTGTAGGAACTGGCTAAAACTAATGCCAGGACAATTTAAAGTCGTGTCGGACTAATGTAGAAATTGGCTAGAACTAATGCTGAGAGACAGGTTATGGTCGTGTCGGACAATTATAAGAGGTAACCGGAATCAATATCGGGACAGTTTAAAGGAGTCATGCTGGACCGATGTAGAAGCTAACCGGAATCAATATCGGGACAGTTTAAATGGGTCATGTCGGACCGTTGTAGAGACTGGATGTTGAACCAGCAAGCGTGGCACATACATAACTTATGACGTCATGCTGAACGATGATGGCAACAGACAACTAAGCACGCCAGGGGGCGGCTTGGATTGTGCGCCAATGGAGGCGGCTTGGGTTGTGCGCCAGAGAAGGCAGCTTGGATTGTGCACCAGGGGGGGCGGCTTGAATGGTGCACCAAAGGGGGCAGCTTGGGTGGGTTGCTTGGATTGTGCACCAAAGGGGGTGGCTTGGGTTATGTGCCAAAGAGACGGCTTAGAAAGTGCACCAAAAGGAGGCGACTTAGGTGGTTTGCATGGTGTATAACCATGTTCACCATGATATAGGCTGTGTTACATGGACTCACCAGTTTAGGGCAGAGTACCCGTGTCGACACGACACGACACGACACGGATGCAGGTGTGAGATATATGTCGGATTCAGCATGGTTTTCTTGGACATGGCTAACATGAGAGGAGAGAGAAAAAGGGTTGTTGAGAGAGAGAGAGAGAGAGAGAGAGGACTGAAACTCACCTTTGCGAAGCAAGTTGAGTCGCGAAGCAAGATCGAAGTGCGAACCCTAGTCGCGAACTAGACCGAATCAAAGGAGATCTAAAAATCAACATCTCAAAGCCGATTCCACCTTAGGTCTTCGATTCCCCTTTGGTCTCGACCCCTCTCTCTCTCTCTCTCTCTCTCTCTCCTTTGACTGTCTTCTCTTCTTTTCCGTTCTCTTTCTCTGGTTTTTATTTATAAATGATATATTAATATAATAATATATAATAGTATTCATATTATATTAATATTTACTCCAAAAAAAATGTATATTATAATATATTTTAAATATTATAATTTTTGTCTAAAATAAAAATAATTTATTTTGTCATATATAATGTAATTTATTTTATGTCTAAAATATTTTTTATTTTTTATTTATATTTTATTTGTTACTTTTTTAACAAAATTTGTTATTTCTTAACTTTTAAACTCGTTTTCATATAATAAATATATTTTAAAAGATAACTATTTAACGTATCCCCGTACCCATATCCAAATTTGGATCCATATCCACGTATTTTCAATTTTTAATTTTGAAGTGTCCGACCTTTAGCTATGCACCCACATCTGACACCCGCACCCGAGTCCGTGTAACATAGGATATAGGTATAATACCCCCCTCAAACTCAAATAGGTTTGAAGATAAAAACGTATTTGAGGTTGAAGCAGAGGGAAAGACAGAGTGGAGCAGAAGCACAAAAAAAATATATGATAGAGATATTTAGGGTAGGAATAAACCAACGGACAAAGGAAGAGATAACCACGAAGCGATATTGACAAGAAAATATAACAGCGAAATAGGTTAAGGTACGGCGGGCGGCTAAGGCGAAGCTGCCGCCCGCTAGTAAAGCGAATAACATCAAGAGCTTAACCTATAACTCTGATACATGTTAGAATAGTAGAGAGAGAAATGAAATAATATATATTGTAATTAATGAATTGTATTGAATATATTTTCCTAGACAATATATGTATATATAGGCTGAGAAAGAGTATCCTACTATAAATCTAATTATGAGAAAGAGTATCCTATAAGAGACCTACCTATGACAATACCTAATATATTTAGGAAATCAATACCTAATATGTTGGATATCTATCACCTCATGTGGGAGTGATCTCTTCTCATGTGTTCGGAATTTAAAATTTGAATTCCCGCCCATTACTGTTCATTCACGCGGAATTCTGTGCACCTTTGCTTTATCTCCAATCAAAACCACCACGATCGTGACACGTGGGTGGACAGGATCCGGCCACGTCTACTCACACCACTCACACCAAATAGTGATTACTATTTGGTGTGAGTACGGATTTAATCTCCACCTTACACGTCACCATCCGTACGTCCATCGACATTCTGCTGCATCCATAACAACTGATCCTCTACGATCAACTTCCTCTTTGCGTTCACCAACCTCTGAAGCATGTGAATGAGCTGGCCATGTGCAAGGCCAGCCAACCTCTCCACCTTCTCTTAATGTGTATAAATAGAGAGGGTGAGAGGAGAGTTAATTGAGAGAGAGAGAGCAAACCAAAGAGAGTGAGAGATGTGAAGCGGAGAGACTGTCTCTTTCGGTGTGAATAAGGGAGACGAGTGAGTGAGGAGAGTGTGAGCTCCTCCTCTATTGTAATCTTTCTGTAATCTCTCCATTGTTATAGTGATAACCGGTTACTCTCTCGTAGACGTAGGCATTGAGGCCGAACCATGTTAAACAGGGTGTCTCTTCGGGTATGTGTGTTTTTCTTTGCTTGGTATAATTTCTGGAAGGTCTTGGGCGGGATCCCCGATCCCTAACAAGTGATATTAGAGCCTTGTCGGTCGTTTTCAGAACAAAAACAGTGTGTTGTTTGAAACTGCCCATAAATCAAGTTGCTCAAAATTAGGTTTTGAGCATACCAGGAGCAAGGTCTCGATGAGAGGAGTCTAAAAATACAAAGCAAAGCCCCAGAGGACATCGGACGCGCTCTCATGCTCCTCCTAAAGATGGCGCGTGAGTCCTAGTCTCACAACGTGCCACCACCGCGCCGTGTGCCGACGCGTCTGCCTAGTCGCGTGTACATGCCACACATGCGGCAGAGGAAGAAGACGAGATGCGTGGCGCTACGTCATCGCCACGTGTCACTACGTCAGCCAGGGATGGCTACGTGTCTACCACGTCTGTAGACCAATCATTGCCACGTGGCAGCCCATTCAACGCCATATTGCTGTCACGTCAACACACGGAAGAGTGATCCCGTGCTTCGCGGCTAAGGTGCAGCCCCAAGAGTAGTGATCCAGTGCTACGCGGCTAAGGTATAGCTGTAGATTTGAGACATCCAAAATGTTTTGGCTTGATCTAAGCCATTCGAAGTCTGTTTCTGACGATCCAATAGTGTTTTCCTACTATTTGGAGTATTTCGGACACATTCGTATGGTCAGATTTTAGAATGAGAATTTCTGTAAAATGAAAGAAGATCAAAGTGGAAAACGGCGTCAGGTGCAGTGGACGGAATATTCTGTTGGAACACGAAATATTCCCTAACCTTTTGAAAATTGCAATTTGGCCCAGAATTTTTAGAAAAATTGTGGTGTGGCCCAACTTTCCAGGATATTTTTCAGTGAGGCCCTCGGAAGTGCAGCGAAAGTTGGCCCTAGCTAAATGGATCGTTCCGGATGCAACCGCGAGGTCAGAATAGTGAAATTTTGAACGGTTTTTAAAGTTTGTCATCTTCGATAACCGAAGGAAGGTTGTCGGATATTGTGAAACACTGCGGATTCACTAAAGAGGTTAGAATGGGCAAATTTTAACCAGATTGGACAACCACATACAGATCGAGATAGATCATTAGAGACCAAAGAGATCAGGCTTGGTCAAATGACAGATCAAGGGAGATTAAGATTGGTTAGGGGCGATCAGTGGATTGTAGAGATAATTATCTCTGAAGTTCATTGGAAGATCTGGTTCAATCAGAAAAGAAGACCATTCATAGACGGATAGATGATTTGGCAACCAATTTAGGCTCAGGGAAATACTATGGCTGTTGGAGCTACTGTATATGAATAGGTACTCATGGTACGTGGATGTTTAGAACAATAGTTGCAGAGGAGCATACTGAGCGCAAGCATAGAGGTACAAAAGCACAATTGAGTACGTATGAGTGTCGTACAAGGTGTAGATATATAGTGCAGAGAAGACACGAGAAGAGTGTGTAGCAACGGTTTGTTGAAAGTTCACAGGAACTTCTAGACAAAGAAATTAAGACAGATAAAACGCAAGAGTGTGCGCCAATGAGTGGCAAGTCTCTTTTCTCTATGGTGGTTTCTTGAGTTCCATGGCAGCAGAGGATAGAGTTGATGCGGATCTCTCAAGCGAGCTCGACGCAGGAAGACCAGAAGCCATGGTTGCGAGCACTATGCAAAATTGCATAGCTGACGATGCTTTGACAGATAGAGCTACTGTCAACCATCAATCTACTAAACAACAAATCAGGGATTATAAAGGCACAGACGATGAGCGTATGGGAACGCTAGGAGGTTGTTCAGAAGTGCAGAGGGCAAAGGCTGATAGTTCAGAGGAAGAGCTCCGAGCAAAGAAAATCGAGGATGTTGATGGGATAAACAACGAGTTTTCTATTGCTCCAATGACTGGTCCTATGAGGTAATGCATGACAGTCAAGGGCATCCTAGCAGGGGGTGCAGGACATCCAATCAGGGGGTGTCAGATATCTTGGTTACGCAAGTTCAAGCATAGCAAGTGAAGGCATCCAAGACAGGAAGCGTGGAAAAGATCTGTAGAAGATAGGAGCAGAGGCTCTCTCTTCAAATCAGAGAGTGGTATGAGTTGAGTTGACGATGTAGGATTCCCTCCTCCTCCTCTTGTATCTCTAGTGTATTATCTCTAGCTTCAGGGGGTGCAAACGTCTCGGTGAGGAAAAGCAGACTATGCTGAAATTTGGGCATGACAAGATTAGCAACAGTGTGTGCAGTGGATCACCTCACATAGGTTGAGGGGGTGATTTGTTGGATATGTATCACCCCATGTGGGAGTGATCTCTTCTCATGTGCTGCAGCATATGAATGAGCTGGCCATGTGAAGAAACAAACTGGCCATGTGCAAGGCCAGCCAACCTCGCCACCTTCTCTTAATGTGTATAAATAGAGAGGGTGAGAGGAGAGAGGAGAGAGGAGAGTTAATTGAGAGAGAGAGAAAACCAAAGAGAGTGAGAGATGTGAGGCGGAGAGACTGTCTCTCTAGGTGTGAACGAGGGAGATGGGTGAGTGGGTGAGTGAGGAGAATATGAGCTCCTCCTCTATTATAATCTTTCTGTAATCTCTCCATTGTTATAGTGATAACCGGTTACTCTCCTGTAGACGTAGGCATTGAGGCCGAACCACATTAAATATGGTGTCTCTTTAGGTGTGTGTGTTTTTCTGCTTGGTATAATTTCTGGAAGGTCTTGGGCGGGATCCCTGATCCCCAACATAATATATATAGGAATATATATCATATATATATTAACACTAACAATCAACTCATCCCGCAAGTATGTATGTGTGTGTGTGTGTTGGAACAATCTTATGTGTAAATAAAATAAATTTAAATAATTCAAACAAAATAAAATAAAATTTACAGAATTTATTTTGTTGAACCGTAACAATAATTAAAGACCAAGTCGAGTATGTGGCACTCTGTCCTTAAGACAAATTCGCCCCGCTATGGTGCTTACGGTTGAGTGGCGTCTATCTCCTAGGATACAATAATCTTCACAAACTTGTAGTAGCACTCCATACAAATTTGTACGGCGAACTAGAACCTGTGTTCTTACTCTCTGAATGTTATTCTAAAACTAAAATGAAGATTTATGCACAAAACAAATACTGGACAGCAAAGAGACTGGTTTTCGGATTTAGAACACTGCTGGAAATGTTGGTATATAAAGGCACAAAATTCTGTCCCAACAGGTGTGTAAACTGTCAAACAGATATGAAACTGTTTTACAGATTCAAAATGAAAACTGGACAGATCTTGAATCTGTCCGAATTCCAACAAACCTCTGGATAGAATTTAGGATGTGTTTTTCCAACCCAAAAAACTGCTGTAACAAGTCTAGTATAAATAGACCCGAACAGGTATGTATTAACTTAAACAGGTGCTTTATTTGAAATGAACAGATATGGATTTCAAAAGAACAGGGGCAACAGATAACTGAATCTGTCTACAATTTGTAACTGCTGGACAGATTTGAACCCGTAACTGCCAGAGCAGTTTTGAAAAGAAAGAATTTAGGACATGAAATTTTCCCGCAATTAATTTTGAAAAAATTCAAAAGAACCGGGCGGACGCTTGTGGTGGTTTGGGCTAAGGTTCACTTTGTTCATAACTCTTCTCTTCTACAAACTTGGGGTGCCCCTTGGGGCCCAACCCAAGTGTTCTAGGCTAGAGTTTATATACATAAATAAACTCTTTTAAAGTTTCAATGTGGGACAACCCTTTCCAAAGAAACCCACATTTACTTCCTTAAATTTCCTATTCCACGAACCCAAAACAACGTCATGTTCCCATTCACTCATAAATGGTTTTGACGAACCGTCTTCACAGTGTGACTTGCCACACGGCAAGGAACACTTCACCTCTTCGGACCCACCCCGAAAGACGTTTGGGACCCACTCAATTTTGAGCTCAAAATTGGCCTAAAATATGTCTATATAAACCAATTTTTCCAACAGTGTGTGTGTGTGTGTGTGTGAGAGAGAGAGAGAGAGAGAGAGAGAGAGAGTCAAGTCATGCAGTTGATAATTTATTTCTCAAGCCAATACAACTGACTAGTATTTAAGTTTGTACCCCAGGATAGGTACAAATATTTCAACAAAACACAGATAAAGATTACCCACATAAACAATTGATTTCTTGTTCAGGTATGTGACAAATCTATGGTTCCCAATGGACATAGCCTCGACTCTGCCAGTTCAGTCCATATACCGGGTCTTCACTGGAAAAATGCACCATGGTGAAGTTTTTGGCTTCCTTAACTTGCTTCGGCTATGGCGACTCAGACGTGTTAGTGAACTCTTCACAAGGTACATTTTTGCTCTCTTATGTTAAGACTCTGCATACCTCACCCAAATTTACAGTTCACAGTAACAAATACCGATAGTTAATACCAATCCGATGCATGACAGACATCTCCCAAAATCCTGTATTTTCGTATTTTGACAATGCTGCTGTTACACCAGTCTGAACTTTGAAGTTAATAGGCTTGAAGCCTCTGCTCAAGCCTATTGGATGGGGTAATTCGCTTTCAATTGGATAATTAGAACCCATAGTGCAATTTCTAAGGCTGTGTTCGGATCTTGAATTTTTGGAGAGAGAAGAAAAGGAAAAAGAGAAATGAAGTAGAAGCTAAATATTCTTCTCTTTTTCCATTTTTTTTCTTTTCCCTCCACAAATCCAAGATCTAAAAACAACCTAAATGGATAACAGATGATCAGAATAAATTTTGCTTTGCACTGTAGTGTCTGACTTCGAATTTTAGTATTCCATACCCCAGATCATGTTGTCCTCCTCGGAGCAGATGGTTAAGGTAATAGCACCTGTGATAACCTGGTTTGGATTTCCACATTAGTTGCCAATGAATATGTAAACCTCAAATGTGATCCAAAAAACTGTCATTTCAAGACATTCAATTAATTATCTGCATCTAGAACCGGAGAATTGCGTCTAGAATATTATTAAGCCAATGCACCAACAATCAATTCAAAGTGATTTCTTGACATTCAGGCATTCAGACACATGCACAAGCACAAACATACTCATGAAATGCTGGTGATTACAAGAGTTTCAGAACTAACATCTGATCTAGTTAGACCTTGTTTTATACAGGTTAGAGAAAGATACACGCTTCAGCTACTTTTGGACAAGATATATCAAACTAATATGTGTAAGTAATAAGTTTCATAAAACTACCTCTTCATGTTATCACTTTCCTTGTTCAAATGTTGAATCTTAAATGCCTACTACTCTCAACGCATAGAGTTCTTCTTAATCTTTTGTTTATAACTTTTCACAGGTGACGCTATTTGCAGTACACTCAGCAGGGTGCTTCTACTACTGGCTTGCCATCCATCATAAATCACTCGATAACACATGGATTGGAGCTCAGGTTCCAGGTTTTGAACATAGAAGCATCTGGGTGGGATACACCTATTCCATATATTGGTCAATTGTCACCCTCACAACAGTTGGCTATGGAGACTTGCATGCAGAGAATACAGGAGAGAAGATTTTCAATATCTTCTATATGCTATTCAACATTGGCCTAACAGCATATCTAATTGGAAATATGACCAATCTCATTGTCCACAGTGCAGTCCGAACCTTTGCCATGGTAATTCCTCTACAACCCTTTTTATGAACACATTTGACTTCTGGAGTCGCGGTTCTCTCTCTCTCTCTCTCTCTCTCTCTCTCTAGTGTGGGGAGGGAATCAAAATGACCAGACCCTCAACTTTTCAGAAGTGTGCCTCCCCAATCTACTAGACTACACTACTATGAGTATTATCTAATAATGGCTTTACAGAGGGACACCATCAATCAGATTTTGCGATATGCAAGCAAGAATCGACTTCCAGAAAGTTTGAAAGAGCAAATGCTGGCAAATATGCAACTGAAATTTAGGACAGCAGAATTACAGCAGGAAGAAGTGCTTGAAGACCTACCTAAGGCAATTAGATCAAGTATCGCTCAGCATCTTTTTCATGGAACTGTGGAAAATGCCTATCTCTTCAAAGGAGTTTCTGAAGACCTTATCATCCAGCTGGTATGTTGCAATATAATAGTAAGTACTCTAGTTTAACAGCAACAAAACAATAACAGCAATAAGAATATTATTAACTTAGCACATTGACACTTCAAAATGTTAAGTACCTATTTCAGACTTAACATGACATAATAATAGACAAACTATTAGTTATGTGTTCCTTGAAGCCAAGAGAATGTTTATTAAGAATATATATATATATATATATATTGTTGGTAATATATGAATATTCCAAAGCAGGTTGAAGTACCCATGTCAAATACACACATGTTTACAAAGGGGGGGAAAAAAGGGAAAACAATTCCTAGCTCCAGCATTTCATTATGATGTTTCACTAAATTGTTTTTCTGTTCCATGTATACTACAAATACGAGGCTAGAGGCATCCATGTCAAGCATAATATGATACAATAACATTTTAGTGTAAACGTTTAAGAAGAATTCAGATACTTAAAACATCAAGTCTCCATGTCCTGCATAAGGAAGAAGTATCTGATAGACAGTCTATACCCACATCCAAAATGCATAATGAGTCCATTATAGCAGGAGCCAGAATCAATGTGGAAATTCTAAATTCAGAGTTACCAGATTGTCATCTAATTAAGCAGCATCTTGTGGCATCTTCTCCTCTCAGGTGTCCGAAATGAAAGCTGAATATTTTCCACCAAAGGTTGATATCATCTTACAAAATGAGATACCTACGGATTTCTACATTCTAGTATCTGGAGCAGTGGTATGGTTACTTCTCCTTTCACATGTTATTCTATGTACACTACCAGAAGCAAAATCTGACCATCTGAAATGCAGGATGTCGTGATATACAAAAATGGCACGGAGCAGGTATGGTTTTACTTTTTTTCAATGAAATGGAGCAGGTATGTTCAGGGCATGAGTATTCCAAAGGACAGAAAAAACAATAACGGAAGATACACGATTGACCATGTCTAAGAAATTAGTAATGAACTTCTGCATTGAGTGACAAATCAAGGCCCTTGTTTCTACAAAGATTCACAATATGTCATGCACAGGAAACTACTAATCAACCCACATTGAGTCTCACATACACAATTACTTGCACACAAAAACATATTACTTCAAAAGAAAATAAAATGGAGAGCCAAAACCAATCTGTAACTGTGGTTTCATTTCACAGCTACGTTGCATATGGTTTTGATTTGTCAAAGGAAAGCAGTAACCTTTCTAGATGCTATGTAACATGCAAGGCAAAGAATGACCAACTCCAATCTAAAAATTGTAATATGTAGAAATTTCACTAGAAAAAAATCCATTAAACGAAGGGAATCACAAGATGATCTCATATGAGAGCAACTTGATGAAAGTCTCCTATCTGCTGAAATAAATCCTAGTGATTCCACTTTTTCTACATCTGAATCATTGAACTAACAGAACAAAGATTTGTATTTAATGTTAACTTAGTTCAAATGGGATTTCCAGTTCTTGTCAAAATTAGGGGCTGCAGACATGGCAGGAGAAATAGGGGTACTTTTTAATATCCCACAACCTTTTACGGTGAGAACTAAGAGGCTTTCTCAGGTCATCCGGATTAGTCATCATCAATTCAAGCAAATGGTGCAGCCACATAATCCAGATGGAAAGATAATCATCTCCAACTTTATACAGGTCTGGAATTTTTTTATATTATTGAGAATTGAGGTTTTAAAAATGTTATATTTCCTCATGTTTCTAGATATTATCAGTGATACATTTGACAAGTACATAGCACAAGAAGTTAGTGATTAAACTACCAACTTCTCCCAGGAAATTGTACACACAGTGCCCAAAAAATTGAAAAGCAATTGTTTTTTCTAAGCTTTGGAAAACTATTTTTAGGTCATCACGTGGCGAGGTTTGAATTTGATGGGCCATCCACCAGTGTTTCCACTATCAGAGTTCCCCACTCAACCCTTAAATTAGCTTCACATGCAAATAAACTTTTATGCTGACTGACTCTACCTGCATTCCTTGCTCAGTATTTGAAGGGATTAAAGAAAGAGTTGCTTGAAGAGATGCTATTTGTAAAAGATTTGTTGGATGAGTTCAATACAGAGGTAATTCTTCGCCTTGGACATAGACTTGCATGAAACATATATCAATAATAAATCAGAATCTGAGTTTACCTGTGCCTATAAAGAAAGATACCTGAAATTTTACACATTTGACAATTTACTTTAGATGTGTACGGTACAGGAAAGTTGTTAAGCAAGGAATTAGTACATTCATTTTTTATCAAGTTGCATGCTTGGAGTTCAGGATACAATCCAACACAATCAGAAAGACAGAAATAACTATAGATTTGGGTGTGCAATAGAACTAATAGTGTGTATATTAGTCTAACAGAGGAGCTGCTATTGATGCAATGTTTTTAATACTACATAAATGTCACCTAAAATTGAATACTATCATATCAGTTTAACTTGATAAGATATTCCTATCCAAGAATTAAGCCAATTCAACATGGCAGAAGGAGCGCTTATGGCAACAAATAAAGCACACTACGCATTTCACTTTTCTGTATAAACAAAAAGAAGAGGTAATGTTTCCAACTACAGGATTTTGATAAAAAATTTCCTCTGATGTTGCTAATTTTTAATAATCAGCCTAAAGGTAGCTAAAAATAACCCAAAAAAATTTCTTGTCAGTTTTTTTATTTTTAAAAGAATTGACAAAATTTCAAGTAAACTTCACAGATTTCAAAAAATTATGAACCCCATTTTTAGCCTTGTCATCTAGATTAAATAAATATATGCAAAAAAATCGATGTATAAGCATAAAAAAAAATTGCAGGAATATTGGTGTAAGTTAATTTTAAGCAATGAACAAAAATCTGGAGAGTAAGATTTAAGGCCATCCCTTCAAACATCCACTCATTCAGATATAAGTCATAAAAATCCAGGGAAACATTTGTCTTCATGTCTTTCCAATGGGAAACTGAATATCTCTTCATCGTAGGTTGTAAATTGTAGCATAGATCTGAGAACTGGCATATCAAGTTATTAACCTACAACTAATGACATTTATAATGGTGTTCTTGCAGCATATAGAATCTGTTGAGGGACAACAACATCACGAAGCGCCAAATTATAGTAGAGACGCAACTATTGAAGGTTAGTGAGCTCAAGCCTGACTGCATAGTATCATACTGGTCACTTGCATTCAGAAGAAGGTAAATGAGAAACTTTTTGTGCAAAAAGTAAAATTCAACGTCTCACTCTCAGAGCATATGTTTGCCTGATGGTGTATCAAATTGCCTAATTGTTCATTCAGTCACCCACATGTTATCACATTGCCGTTCAGGATTACGTTAAGTTAGCTCCCCTTAAAACCTACGTTTAACAACCACGCACATTTTGATGTCAGAGCCACAATAATTTGTCTAGTTCAGAGATACAAATTCTGCCTAGACAAGCTTAAGTTATTTGCAACTTCATGTGCAAAAACTCATGCTATCATTTCGCAGGAACACCAACAACTTTTACTCCCTTATCGCGCCCGCTTCCCCTGAGGGTCATAATACATGGGCATCATCCAGATGATAAAACAACGGATGGTGATAAAACAGGAAAACTTATCCACCTTCCTGACTCAGTAGAAGACCTTCTGAGTTTAGCAGGTAAGTGATTCAAGAGAAATTACCATCAAATACCCTTAGTAAACTGATACCAAAAATGTGAGTCCTAAATATTCGTGTTTTACTCGAGAACAAGAAGCATCCACACAATCAAGTGATTAAAATGAAATTTTTTTTTTTTTTTTCCCCGCAGAAAAGAAGTTTGGCAAAAAAGGAAGCACAATTCTCATGGCAGATGGCTCTCAAGTGGAAGAATTGAGTGCTGTAAGAGAGAACGACCGCTTGTTTATATTTTGAGCACTAATATAAATTGAGTGTATATCAACTGAAACTTCAATTGCTTTGATCTGTGAAAGTATGATACGCATGACTAACAGAAAATGGAGTGAGTTTGTATAAGACAAGCTATAGAGTGCCATGATAAAGAAAATCTGCAACCCAATGCTTGGACATCGAACAGAAGAATACTACAAGATTAGCATGTATAATCAATCTATTTTGGAAGACAATTTTGGAAACAATGTTGGACCAGTAAACTGCCACAACTCCAATAGAATTAGGCCAACAAGAATTCAACAAGATCAGTCAGAGTCTCTGAAAAAATGGTTGCAAATGTAATTTTAACAGAACAGACCACATACAACGAGCATAAGGTAATTTAAGTGTAGAATTGTTTTCATAGAAATTGATCAAATCACAGAAACTGAAAATTACAGGGCAAGGTATTTAGACTGACAGGACAAGACGGAACCCAATGTTGTATGGTTACTGCACAACTACAAAACCAAATTCTATAACAAAGAAAGTGCCATGCATTAGATAAAATTGAGAAAAATTGTGGTCCTAATCATCAAATCCTCTAGTGTTTATGAACACAAGTGAGATCATATTACTACTCACTAGCTGTGAAAAATTCAACTAAATTTAAGACGAACTGAAATTTCAGTTCATGGATGAATTTGCAAAAACAAATTGTCTTAAAAAAAAAATAAAAAAAAAATGGTTTATAATATGGTGACAAAAAAGAACAAGTGAAATTTATTAATTAAAGAAAGAAGTTATTCTAAAGAAAACACAATAAATTAATTTTCTTAATGCATAGATTTCATCACAAATAAAGTTGACATTGTAATTCAAGAATTTATGAGTATATATCAGATTCATCTGATTTGTTCACCATAAACATCGATTGACATAGAAATGGCGGAGTGGGCCCGAGTTTATGCTGGGCGTTTGTTTAATTAAAAAATTGGGCCGAAGCCCTATTATTATTATGACCAAGCCCAATTATTATGTAAAAATTAAATAATACAAAATTAAAAATTATTAAAATATTAGAAACATTAATTATTCACGGTAGAACAATGTTATTTTAAAAAGCTATTAATTACGGTGGTGCTACATTCACCAATTAATGTACACACCAATGTACCAATTAGTGTTACGTCATTATTATTAACCCCACTTATTATACAAATTATAAATACTCAAAACCTCTAAAATTATACCACATCATCCATTAGTATACTAATTACTATATTAATTGATACATATAGCATTATTCTATTAATTATTGGACTATATCAGGTTATTAAATAGTAATTAATAGATATTTAATTGTACTCTGTAATTAAATAAAAAAAATTAGATTGAATAATTAAACATGCCTAAGTTATTTTCTATACCATTCCCCTTTATTGTAACCTATGATGTAACATGGCTATGTAATTTTAGTAAATAATTATTTAAGAATTAAACAATTCATTCATTGGTGTCAAGCATTGGAATCACAGTTATACCTTGGGTAAAAAAATAATTAGAATTGACTACTTATAATACTCTTTTTAGCCATTGTGTCTTGTTTGGAATCTACTAAAAAAATAAAATTAATTTTTTGGTTACAATTTTTTTTCAACACTTAAAAAAGTTAAATATTACATCAATTTTTTCATTTATAAAAAAAGAAGGAAATTTAGTCAAAACTACTCTATTAGACCGTTATTTGGTAAAAATGACAGTCCAATTTATTTTTCTTCATAAACCTCATAAGGAGAAAACACATAATTGAATAAGGACAAAGTAAAATATATATATATATATTTTTTTTTTTTTTTCTTTCTTAAACGATACTGTCAGAGTAACATGTTACTGTGAACTAGAGTAGTATGTTATTGTCAAACAGAGTAACATGTTATTGTTACTGTTTACATCAATTTCGATCGTAATATTTAAAAAAAAAAAAAATTCATAGTCAATATGAATCTTATTTGATGGATTTTTTAAAAACCAACATTTATATCAAAAGTTATATTATTTTAAAATTTAATATTTTGATGATAGTGATATTTGTTAGAATTTTTTTATAAAAAAAATTTGTACTTATCTTTAATGTATTAAAATTTTATTATGAGACTGTAACTACCCAAACACATTAATTTTTTTTTTTTTTTTTTTTGGAAGATAAAATTGAAATGAAAAAAAAACTGAAAAATTTTAATATCTTATAACTAAACCAATTTAATTTATCACATAAAAGCACGAGGATGATTCTCATGAGTTGACGTTGAAAAATGTTACAGGTAAAAAAACTACTAAAAGGATACGTGCTTCAAATTCAGTTATATTATAGATTCATATTTGAAATGAACCTGGGTTAACTTTTTAATTTTTTGATTTTTTTAACTATTTTAATTTGGGCTAAAAAGTTTAGTTTGGGAAGAACTTTTTAAGTTTTTGACTTTTTTGACTTTTTTTTGTGAGAGAAAAGTGTAATAATTATAGATTAGATGTGATATTTTATTTGTTGTAACTAAAATAACTTATTTTATTTTTTATAACTAAAATAACCAAAAAAAATTCTAAAAACCTTCTTCTCAAACGGTGCAGTATTTTTATCTTGATATTTTTGGGTGGTTGATTTCTTGGCGTTTAGCATTGTTCACTTTTTTCAATTGCATAGTGCGAGATGCACATAATTTGTCCTACTATAACATGAAATATTGAAATATTATAACAAAGTTGGAGCCTGTGTGTTATATTGCCTATAGTGCTCCATGTAGTGTCAAGAACATCTTTTAAGAGGATGGTTAAAAAAAGTTTGTTTGGTTTTTTAGTCAATGTAAATAACTCCAATTACATTCTCTATTTTTCGCTAACTAAAATATAAAAAAGTATTTGTCAAAAAAATAAAAATATAAAAAAGTATACTTTTTATTTTATCTAATTACTTTAACTATTATGTTTTCCAATCACACTCTTTATTTTAGTTAATCATTCAAACTAACTTAATTAATTTTTAAAACAAAAAATAATAATTGCTGATATTTTACTAATATAAATTTGTAATAATAATAAATTTGCCCATACAAACATACAAAACCTGTAGAATGAGGAGAAAAAAATACAAAATACAAAATAAGTTATTCCGTAATTCATCAAACAAAATTGTAAGAACATATAAAATTGCTACATACACATATACATATATAAAATACATAAAATCCCAAATCCAAGACATAAATATACAAAAATCGAAGATATATACATACATATTTGTTTGGAGAGCCTCTGGGGCTCTTCAATTATAGCCACTAAAAAAGTAGGATGGTAAAGTAGCTAGCCCAATAGCCAACTCATTGAAGTTCAAAATTAGAGTTGCATTGGCTAAAATGCCTAACAAGCCTTTTTTAACTATCCCCTTGGAGATGCTCAATTTTGAGTTCCAATGGGTTGGCTATTGGGTTAGTTGCTTTACCATCTTACTTTTTTGGTGGCTACAATTGAAGAGCCCCAAAGGCTCTCCAAACAAATATGTATGTTTATATCTTCGATTTTTGTATATTTATATTTTGGATTTGGAATTTTATATATGTATATATGTATGTAGCAATTTTATATATTCTTTTAATTTTGTTTGATAAATTACGGAATAACTTATTTTGTATTTTATATTTTTTTCTCCTCATTCTACAGATTTTGTATGTTTGTATGGGCAAATTTATTATTATTGCAAATTTATATTAGTCAAATATCAGCAATTAATATTTTTTGTTTTAAAAATTAATTAAGTTAGTTTGAATGATTATCTAAAATAAAGAGTGTGGTTGAAAAATATAATAGCTAAAATAATTAAATAAAATAAAGAGTGTATTTTTTTTTATATTTTAACTAGTGAAAAGTATTGAGTGTGGTTGGAGTTGCCTAAGACTTTATTTTGAGAGGAAAAGAGTGTTTTTTTTTTTTCCCTCCTTTTTTTTCTTTCAAGTTTTGACCCAAAACGGTTGTTTTGGAATATTACAAGAACCCCTATAAAAAATCCAAATTATATTATAGCATCATAACTAATGTGGTTAGTTCCTTTCAAAAAAATTAGGGTAAATTATTGATAAATCCCATTTAGAAGTGTTTTAACTCAAGAAGTCCATAAATGAGTTTTTTAACCCATTTAATCCCATGTATGTATAGTTTTATTTCATAAAGTTCTTTTTCTTGATTTACACTATTTTCTTGGACACTTATGCCCTTATATTTAATTTTGATACCCTTATAAATATTTTTTTAACGGTTAGCAATTTTATGATATGAACATTCATATTTTAAAATTCACATTGGTAGGAATGTAAAATTGGCCCATGGGCGTCCCGAAACCCGCCCGCGAGCCGGGGCAGGCTTGGCCCGTTGACAATGTGAATATTCACATTGACATGTTAACATTCACATTGATAAGAGTGTAAAATTGGCCCGCAGCTCGTGGGCGGCCCGAAGCCCGACCGCAACCCGAGACGGGCTTGACCCGACCCGTGACATTGTGAATATTCACATTGACATGTTAACATTAACATTGATAGGAGTGTAAAATTTGCCCGTTGCCCGAAGCTTGCCCGCAGCTCGGGGTAGGCCCGGCCCAAACCGTTGACAATGTGAATATTCACATTGACATGTTAATATGCACATTGATAGGAATGTAGAATTGGCCCGCGGCCAGTGGATTACCCGAATAGCACAGGGGTATTCGAACTTTGTGCAGGCCGGTGGGTCGAGCCTCGGGTCGGGCCGATAGGCCTGGACCTAGCCTCAGGTTTGGGTCGGGCTTGGGCGGGCCTGGCCATTTTTTTTTAAATTCTTTTTAATTTTTCTATCAAAATTTTATTATTTTCCACAAAAAAAGACACTAGGCCTTGGCGCGGGCCGGGCCTCGGACCGAGCCTTGAATGGGCCTTAACCGGGCCGATGGGCCGGGCCGGGCTTCGAAGTGATGGCCCAGGCCCTAGCCTAGGGTCTCGGACTAAGCTCGAGCCCGGGCCCAAACGAGCCTTTCCCAGGCTGCGGGTGGGCTTTGGGCAGCCAATGTTCTTTTTGACTATTCCATTAAGTTCTATTTGAGGTAAGAAGATCAAAATACCATTTTCATCTACTTATATTCTATTTAGTCCACATTATTTTCTTATGTTTTAAGAAGTCCTATGGGAGACATAATTACCAAAATACTCATAATGTGAATGTTCATATCATCAATGCGTAGAGGCCCGGGCCGGCCCATATCGAGCCTCGTGGGTGTCCAAAAAAATCCGGGCTGGCCCGGCTCACGGGCCAAAAAATTAGTCCTAGGCCTTAGCCCTGGCACAAGGGTATTCAAGGTATTCGGGTTTTTGACGGGTCGATGGATCAAGCCCCGGGTCGGGCCGGTGGGCCTGGGCCTAGGCCTAGCCTCGAGCTTAGGTCGGGCTTGAGTGGGCCTGACTATTTTTTTTAATTCTTTTTAATTTTTTCTACCAAAATTTTATTATTTTCCACAAAAAAATGCATTGCGCATCGGGCGGTCTGGGCCTCGCACCGAGCCTTGAATGGGCCTTAAGCGGACTGATTGGCCGGGCCGAGCTTCAAAGTGATGCCCTAGGCCCTAGCCTAGGGTCTCGGACATGCTCGGGCCCAAACTCAAACGAGCCTACCTGGGGCCGTGGGTGGGCTTTAGGCAGCCCACGGGTTGCGGGCCAATTCTATATTCCTATCAATGTGTATATCAACATGTCAATGTGAATATTCACATTGTCAACGGGTCGGGCCGGGCCTACCCCGGGCCGTAGGCAAGTTTCGGGCAGCGGGCAAATTTTACACTCCTATCAATGTTAATGTTAACATGTCTATGTGAACATTCACATTGTCACAGGCTGGGCCAAGCCCGCCTCGGGCTGTGGTTGGGCTTTGGGCCGCCCAGGGGCTGCGGACCAATTTTACACTCTTATCAATGTGAATGTTAACATGTCAATGTGAATATTCACATTGTCAACGGGCGAGGTCGGGCCCTCTCTCGGCCGCTGGGCAATTTTATACTCTTATCAATGTGTATGTTAACATGTCAATGTGAATATTCATATTGTTAACAGGCCAGGCCGGGCTCGCCTCGGGCCGCCCACGGGCCGTGGGCGGGTTTCGGGCGGCCACGAGGCATGGGCTAATTTTACACTCCTATCAATGTGAATGTTAACATGTCAATGTGAATATTCATATTGTCAACGGGCCGGACCGGGCCCGTCCCGAGCCGCCCATGGGCCGCGGCGCGGGTTTCGCGCCATCACGTGACGCGGGCCAATTTTACACTCCTCTTAATGTAAATGTTAACATGTCAATGTAAATATTCACATTGTCAATGGGCCGGGCCCGCCCTGGCCCGACTCGAATTTTTCCGGGCACCCACGAGGATCAACAAAGGCCGGGCCCCCACACATTGACGATATGAACATTCACTTTGACGGTGTGAACATTCACATTAGGGATATTTTGGTAATTATTTTACCCATAGGACGTATTGAAACATAAGAAAATAATGTGAACTAAATAGAACATAAGTAGATGAAAAAGGGTATTTTGGTCTTCTTATCTCAAATAGGACCTAATGGAATAGTAAAAAAGAATATGAATTGGATGAAATAAAACTCTTAAAAAATAGATTTATCCAAAAAATTCTCAAAAAATTAATGTGATTAGTTCAACTGATGAAAACTTACTCGTTATTAGGAGATTAATTATTCGACTCTTCTAATATTCTCTCTAACTTTAATAACTATTTATATATGGGGCATAATTAAATTTTAGGGTTGGTTTGGGGTGTACTAAAAAAGTGCACTTTTTGTCTTTTTACGAAAAGATGTGCAGAAAAGTAGAGAGGTGATGTGATGGAAAAAAGATAAAAAAATTGATTATTTTTGGGTTGCCAAACTTGGCCTAAATCTTTGTTGAAAACTCATCAATAGAACAGTATTATGCAGGTGCACCTATATTAAGTTGCCTACTTGTCTTAGGCCTTGTTTGGCATATTCTAAAAAAGTTAAAAAGTTAAAAAGTCACTATCCTATTTAAGTCATATCATCTTATTTAAGTCACATCACCTCTCTACAACATCACTTCAAACTCAACCCATACCCAACCCATATTTCATAAAAAGTCAAAAAGTGCACTATTTAGAACATCCCAAACCACCCCTTATTAATCTCTTGCCTCAAATGGCTTGTGGGTGGATTTGTTGGAGGAACGTGACTCCCACCCTAACCTGGGGCGTTTCATCCTATCAAATTTACATGGCTTATCTCGGCAGTTATTCCTCTTTGCAATCTTCTTTGTTTTCTTAGCTTATTCTCTGCTTAGTATATTTTGTTCTGGAATATTAGGCGGCGTGGGTTGCAGGACAATATGCCCATATCAACTTTTTGGACCCAAACAATTTTCCTAAAGCATTGCATAGTGTTGTTGCGGGGATGCGTGACCCAGAGCTTCCAGTTCGTGTTGATTCAGTCTTTGCATTGCGTTCATTTGTTGAAGCTTGCAAAGGTACATGTTTGCTTGACATTCTTGTTACACTAACTAAAAAATAAATAAAAATAACGCCCAATCAGTACACATTAATATGTGTTTGGGAGGGGAAAGATTGAGGACACGCCTAACCTTTGGCATAATGCACAAAGTGATGGCCCCAAGACTTGAACCCATGACCTTAAGGTTATTAGGCCAAATCTTAATCATTAAACCAATAGTCACCCCTCTTGTTACTCGAACTTGTGGAAAAAATTTATTCTGGGGTTTTTTAATATCTTATTACATCAAATATTGGATCATCTTCTTTGTTCCACAGATTTGAGTGAAATCCGACCAATTCTTCCACAGCTTCTTGATGGTATGTGATTTATGGAATTATACTTGAGAATATTAACTGGAGTTGTGCATCTCCTTTAACGGATTTTTCCTTGTTGTGTCAGAGTTTTTTAAACTTATGAATGAAGTTGAAAATGAGGATCTTGTATTTACTCTCGAGACTATTGTGGACTAAATGGATAAAATTATGACCAGCTTTGAGATGTTTTCGAATTGCATCTTTGGATAATAATTGGCAAGTTTCTCTTGGTTTACTTAGAGTATAAACTTGTTCAACAGTTTTGACTTGTAGATCAACATTAAAAGTGGACTGTAAAAAACTAGTTTTATATATTTCTTTAGTTTTAACTTTAGGGATATTCCAACCTAAATCAATTTTTACCTCTTGATATTCATGTTCTTCTGACTACGGTATATATATATATATATTTTAAAATTTTGACTAAAAATTCTTATTTCAAGAGTCTCATTTCATAAGAAAGAGTCTCACTGAAAGCTTGAGAAGATTATAAAAGTCTATTCCTATTTATAGGAAAAAAAATTTCAAAAAAAACCTACAAAATTCTATGTGTGATTTAATTAAATTATTTGAAACATATTGATTGGAGGGAGGGATGAAAATCTCATTTTTCTCCAAAATTAAATCTAGCATTTAATCAATTTGTTTGGAGGGAAGTTCAAAAAATTTAATTTCTTTAAAATAAGTGACTTTTTTTTATCAATTATGACTTTATTAAATATTATTAATAAATACTATGCAACAATTTTTATTTTTATTTGATTATTTATATATATTTTTATTTATTTATAATTTATAGTTATATTTTTTAATTATATAATATTAATTATGACATCACGGTTCGACCGCTTTGACCCAACGGTTGAACCAGTGACCCGTCCATCTGGTCCTTTTTCCGGTTTACTCACCAGTCCGATTTTGAAAATATTGGTGAAGACCCATAGTTTTTTATTTAAAAAGTGAAAATTAACTCATGTAAATGGCATTGTTTATTTGAGACACGTGCTAAACACATGTATCTTAATCTTTCATACAATTTTACTTTCCAAAATTTGTTATGAAGAACAAAGTCTACATCTACCTAAAGTTTGCACTTTTGTGTGCTCAAAGTGAGTTCTTCCCTTGTTATGCTTTTATCTTTTTCCACGCTATTTATTACAAAAGCTCATCACAAAACATGAGAGACACATTCAAATTGCATTCCAAGTTTCAAATGTTTAGTAGTGCCTTTGTAATAGACAATACTAGTGAACTCTATCATTAGAATGGAAAATCAAACATTCAATTTTGAAGCATACAAGCTACTAATTGAAAGGGCATATATTTTGTGCTAAGATTTGTCAAAAAGTTTAGTGTGTTTGGTTTGAATTTTTTGGATTAAGTTTTTTAAAAATTAAGTTTTTTGATAATTATGTTTTTTTGTTTTTAGTGAATATTTTTAAAATTTTAATTTTTTTTTTTACTTTTTTAGATGCACCTTACTTAAATGTATCCAAAAAGTAAAAAATTTGTGAAAAATATTTTAAAAAATTAATAAATACATAAAAATATAAAAAATGTACTAAATTCTCTTCTCTTTTTTTTGTATTTTTGGTATTTAGTGAATTTTTAAAAGATTTTTTTCAATTTTTTTTTTACTTTTTAGGTATATTTATGTTAGGTATGTCTAAAAATTAAAAAAATTGCTTAAAATATTAAAAAAAATCAGTAAAAACAAAAAAATACGAAAAATAAGAAAGTAGAATTTTTTAGAAAGTGTTTTTGAAAAATGATAACCAAGCAAGGTGATTCAATGATATTTCCATTCTATTTTAAGTTACACACTTTATTTTTTGTCCTTTAACCTTAAAGAGTGTGAAAATTGTGAAAATCTTTACTAAAAAGATTAAGAGACAGACGGACAAATTACGAGAATAGTCTCTATAATTTGTTGTTTGTATTGTTTGGTTCTTGTAAGCACAGGCGTTTCACATAACTTATTTTTATTAGAAAAAGAGTAATAGATGTAATTTATTGTCAAATTTGAAAGAGTAGGAACTAAACTGATAAATAATATAAAAACTATTTACGTAATTTATTCCAAAATATATGTATTTTTGTGTTAATTAAATTGGTCATAACCAAGCAATATTCATACCTTTGAAACTTTAGGATTAAAATTAGTTGATAAATGATTGTGCTTTAGGAAATAAACTTGAGGAACAACATGAGCACAAATGATCATGACAGTTCATTTTGATTGAAATTTTAAGGACAACAATCCACTTCTTGTGTTGAATACAAGAAATTAAATGGTGACTTTTGCTCTTCACTATACGAATTGAGAGTTCCACAATATTATTTTTATTTATTTATTATTATCCCATAACTGCTCAATGGATAGGTGTTTTGAATATGTCTTGCAACTATTTAAAAAAGAGAGTGATGAGATAGGAAGGAAAAAAAAAAAAAAAAGAGTTTGGGTTGAGGTATTCAGATCAAGCCTTTGTAACATGTTGTGACGAAATGTGTTTTGAATGAGATACCCATTTAATATTCAAATACTTAGGGTTGGTTTGGCAAGGGCTCATTAGGTTTTTTTGGCTCAATGGGCCATAAAAGACAGAATAGACTCATGAGCCACAACAGACAAACATCACATCCAACCCTATAATCATTACACTCTTCTCTCACAAAAAAATCAAAAAAGTCAAAAAGCCAAAAGTCCTTCCCAAACTAAGCTTTTGAGCCCAGGCTCATATAATCAAAAAAGTCAAAAAGTCAACCCACTTCCCAAACGGAGGCTTAGTGGAATATGATAAAAAGAATTATCACATCATTCTAAAAGGTAAATACAAAAATTTTCATAATCACATTTTAAAAAAATTCATTTTGTTAAATTAATTTAAAATTATATCAAATAAAATACATAATTTAGTATAGCACATATATTTTTTCAACATACTTAGCAATATTGAAAGGGTGGTGTTACATGTGTCAATTAGTGTACCAACATTAGTCATGACATCATTGTTGACCCCACTTATTATACAAATTATAAATATTAAAAATATCTTAAATTATGTCACATCATCAATTGATACACTAGTTAGTGTATTAATTGATACATATAGCATTGGTCATTTTGAAAAATGTCAAACTTATTAACTTGACATTAATTTAACAGACAAGACATTTTTGCTGAATCATTTTACTTTTATCATAGCACAAACCCTTCTATTGTGTCAACAAATTTTAAGCAAAATTTACATCGTGCTAAAATTTAGCATTTTGCTCCTATCGTGCTATCAACAAGATTATGAATACATAATTAATTACAAAACCAAACATATAAAATAATTTTGACCATATATATTACATGATAAAATCATTCATAAAATATATAATTTTACTCAAACTGTATCATCTATATTTTATGTGGTTGAGTTTGTATACTTGACTTATTGTGTCAAATTATAATACTTAACAAGATACTCTTATTTCATAAGAAAATATATATATGCAATTTTGTTACAAATAATTTAAGTATAATAATTTTACATATATTAACAATTTTATTAAAAATACAAGAGGTCAAATATAATTAGTTGTTAAAAATCAATGATACTTAAGCATACAATGATTGATGATATGCATTATTTTAATAAGATTGTCAGTAAAAATTTAAATTGATGGAGCATTGCTCATTTAAGCGATAGAAATTTTACAATCATCAAATTCAAGTACCTACATTTACAATTTGATATATAAGATACCAATTCATACTCATATCTTTCATCAAATTTAAATTTGTTAAAAATTTAGTAAAAATGGTGTTTTAATTATTTTATTAAATTGGTATCAAATAAAGAGAGTCATACTTTTTTTTATCCAATCAAAAGAGCGTTTAACATTTCATCAACTTTTACAAGTGACTGTTTATGAACGACAAGATGAATGACCGTCCGATCAACTGGATGGATAACCCAATTAAAAAAGATTTGATAAAAATTTACATTAAGTTTCAAACAACCAATCAAATTTAATAAAACAATCGGAACACATCATATCAAATGAAAATGCTCTAAGGTATTCAAATGTATGTCTCATTAAATTAATTTAAGTATAATAATTTTACATATATTAACAATTTTATTAAAAATACAAGAGGTCAAATATAATTAGTTGTTAAAAATCAATGATACTTAAACATACAATGATTGATGATATGCATTATTTTAATAAGATTGTCAGTAAAAATTTAAATTGATGGAGCATTGCTCATTTAAGCAATAGAAATTTTACAATCATCAAATTCAAGTACCTACATTTACAATTTGATATATAAGATACCAATTTAGACTCATATCAAATTTGATGAAAATTTAGTAAAAATGGTATTTCAATTATTTTATCAAATTGGTATCAAATAAATCAAAAGAGCGTTTAACATTTCATCAACTTTTACAAGTGACTGTTGATAAACGACAAGATGAATGATCGTCCGATCAACTGGATGGATAACCGAATTAAAAAAGATTTGATAAAAATTTACATTAAGTTCCAAACAACCAATCAAATTTAATAAAACAATCGGAACACATCATCCTATTGATTAAGTCTGCGCTCCTCCGTACGTCGTCGCTTAGTCACCTGAAAACACAAACGTGAGCTAGCCGGCGGGTGTGTGCCGAAAACCTCTCCGATGCCTAAGTCAATAAGCTTGACAAATAGACAAAAGCTCTGTGTATTCAAAAAGCAAAGTTGTGTATTACCTCCTCCAAGGTGATGTTTGTGAGCTTTTATAAGTTTCGTGTGGCACAATCCTAGTAGGACTTCTACTTCTCCATGCAGAGTCCTCCTAGGATTCATACTCCTGAAAGATAATGCTTATCCTTCAACACCCCCCTCAATGCTCAAACCAAGTGAGATGGTTTTTACCATGGTCGAACTACCACATGGCCGAAATAATACTGGCTATGCTGAGCCGCAGAGTAGGCCGAACTATCCTTAGTTCGGTTCTTTCTTTTCTACTCCCTATCTCGGTTCTTTCATGTACAAACCATGGCATGTTTAGACCGAGCTACCGAGTAGCAAGGTTTTGACCGTTCTAACCACAATACGTCATGACCGGACTA